CTTTTATGTTGCACAAGAAAGTATTGGTTCAATACTCTTTTCAAAGTTTCCTTATTTGATAATAAACAAAAAAAAAAAAGATAAATGTGATTGGTTAAGATAAAATACAATTCAATCTATACATTTAAATATTATTTCTTTGCTCAATAATTATCATATATCAACCAGATAATTATTATATTACTATATCTAAGATAAAAATTACAATCTCAATATTTATTGAATTAGTATATAAAATAATTTTTATAAAAAACAGTATATAACAAGTTATAATATCAGATATTATTTTTAATTGAATTTAACTGTTTTACTTAAAGTTAAACTAATATTTTGTAATCTGGACCTAGAATACTAACTATAGTATTATTGATTTACAGATCTAAATAATTTATTATTTATTGTTATAATAGTAGCTATTATTATTATATTATAAAACTAATTTAAACAAGTTTGATTTTGATTTTGATTTTAATATTTATATAAAATCCAATTGGATAATTGAAAAGTATTAATAATATAAAGAAAATAAATTGATTTTATCTTTTTTATTAAAAAAAAATATTAAAGGTTTTGAAGTAGTGTAACAAATATTGCTATAATATAATTAAATATATAAAAATTAACTTAAATAAATAATAAATCTATTAATTCTATTTAAATATATTTTTTTAAAAAGTATTTAATTTAACAAGTATAATAATATTATTATAAAAAACCCCTTTCCTGCAAATTTTAAAATTTCTAAAAAAATTTTTTTTTGTTAACTATCAAGTAAGGAAACTTTGAAAAGAGTATTGAACCAATACTGTCTTGTGCAACATAAAAGGAAAAGTTTTGTTAATATATAAAACTTGCAAAAATTAAAAAAAATTCTTGTTAAAAAATTGTTAAAAGAATAAAAAGAACAGATATTAAAGTTTTTTTTTTAATTTGATGTTTTATACATTAATTAAAGAAATCAAGTTTTTTTTCATTTTAATTTTCTAACTAATTCTATTTAAATATTTATAAATAATAACATGCAGTATATACAATATATACAGTATATTTGTCAAATTTCTTTTTAAAGTTCTTTATAAAATACTTGAATAAAAAGTATATGTACAGATGAGTAACAGAAAATTAAAACGCCTATCAATTTTTTTATAATAAAATATAGTAAAAGTTGAAATTTTCGTACCATATAAAAGTTTAGATAACAATCTTTTATTTTATATGATTATGTAAGACATCAATTATACTTTTTGAAAAAGGCTTTTACCTTCCAAAAACTTTTCCTAGAGAAATCAACCTAGTCACTAAAACGTAATTTTATGATTTTTTATGATTTTTGTATATAATCCATAGGAAAAAATTCTTAACTTTTTTCTTAATTAGAACAGTTTCTGTAAAAAATTTTTAAAAAATAAAAAAAAATATTTTTTCAAGAGATGTAATTGATTAATTTAATGTTGGTGCGAAATAATATAAAAAATTGATAGACGTCCTAATTTTCTGTCACCCGTCTGTGTACATGTACAGTGTAATATTTAAAAAATAATTATGTAATATTTATTAATAATAAAATTAAATTAATATATATACAAAAATACCGTTTCCTGATATTATTTTATACTCATTATTTGACATTTATAGAAATTTGTTAAATAAAACAATCTTTTGCAAATACATTTACAAAGTCAATGTATAATATTCCCTCATCTTTGAAACCTCCCGATGACTCCTTTGTTCCTCTCGATCCCAATAGTAGTCCACTCGCCACCATAGTCATGCCCAGGATAAACCACAATTCCATCATCCAGATTTCCTAGCCGTTCCTTCAATGTCTTCCCCATCTCTTTTGGGTCTCCTCCAGGTAGATCCATTCTGCCAACACAACCGCACATTAGGGTGTCACCAGTGAACAGGCGACATTCATTTACTAGAATGGATTGACTACCCTCTGTATGGCCAGGCGTGTGTAAAAACCGAATGAGAGTGAGGGAGCCCAGTGTGAGAACAAAGTCGTGAGGTGTAGGAACGATTCTGGGCTCGTTTGACGATGAGGAAAGGGAGAATAGGGAAGACAGGGAGAGAGGAATATGGGTAGAAGTACTGGAAGGTGATGCTTGTTCGGGTGTCAAGTTTTGGTGAGCTGGTATGCACGATGGAATATCATTTAACGGACCCGGCGTCGAATTTGAGATGGATGAATGCGAGAAACAGGTAGGTAAACCTTGTGGGGTTATGGATGAAATCACGGCTGAACATAAACGTTCTATAGTGGATGATGGCTGAGCATTACGATTTGAGCGAATGGAGTTTAAAAAATTCGCGGCGGACGCTGTAGAAAAGCTTTCGTCTTCCGATCCTACGTGACTTGATTTATCCATAGGCATCATCTCAGCCATCCCGGGATTTGCTTTCAATACATATGGAATATCCTTAGGGTGAATGTAGGCTTTTACCTTTGGACGTCGTTTCAGAAGGTTAAATAATCCAGAGATTTTCATGGGTATGTGATCGTATGGTGGTGGCAGAATTCCTGTATGAATAAATATAATTGAATTGATGAATGAATATAGAAAATACACGTGTCATATATTAAATCCGAACACACACCTCCAACATGATCAAAATGATAATGAGTGACGATCGCACCGACAAGTTCTAGTCGTTTGTTCTTAATGAATTTCAAGATACCGTCGATGTCCCAACACTGCAAGCACAGTTTAAATGAGATCCACAATAATACTAGGGACATAATAGTACGGATTGATTACGTACCGCGTCAATTACTATACAATTCCTGGTCTCATTGTCTACGACAATATAAATCAAGTTTTTCATTTTTACCGCAAAATCAAACACTTTTTTCTGGATGGGATTAATAGCTTTTGGGATGCAAATGTCTTTTCCGGGCACCAGCTCGTAGATGGTTAAACCTTCATTTGGTGAATTATTATATCAGAGCGAATTACAACGTTTATCAGAATGGAAAAGTTTTAAATGGAGAACGTACCCATAGAATTATTGTCTGCCAAAGCCAATGCTTTTGCTATTCGTAGTGGCACCTGCGGATTCCTTGGATCCTGATTAAATCAAAAGATAATTGAATGAGAAAAGTTTAATGACCTCTTGTTTTTCGATTCACTTTCAGAAACAAAAATAAATGAGTAATCACTTTTAGCTTAGCAATGCAATAATTGTCTAATGCTTCTTCAATTCTTCCAAGTTGTACTAACGCCTCTGCTTTTCGGAAATAACCCTGTTTCATAAATTGATAGATGAAAAAATAAGTTAGTCGCGTACTAATAATTTTCATGGCTATGTAAACATGCTTACGCACAAATTTCTCCCAAGCAAAACCCGATGAATCTTCCTTCTTTCTAAAATGCATTTACCTTTGGCCAATCCGGACTAATCCTGATGACCTGCTCTGCATCCTTCACAGCATCCTCCCATTTCTGACATTGATGATAGCTCGCGCTCCGATTCGAATAAATTAATGCTAAAAAATCAGAGGTTCTTCCGGGATCCGAATTTGGTTGGCATAGAGATAAGGCTTTCGTGTATTCCTCTATCGGATTTGCGATGCGATGAATAGCGTGTAAAGAGCGAAGAAATGGATAAAGAGAAAGAAGGAAGGTGAAACGCACCTATTGCACTTTTGTATTCTTTTTTGGAGTAAAGCTCATTAGCACGATTGACGGAACGCAATGACCGATTATCCGGTGAATTTGGGCGAAACGCGCCTGACGAAGGTTTCGGTGACGCAGGCTCTGTGGAAGGAAAGACGTGTTTCTCTGTTGTAAATGATAGCTTTGGAGATGACGGAAGACATGGGGGCGAAAGTTTTAAGGCATGTGAAGAGGAAGATTTTGGGGCCGAAGTCTTTAAGGTAAGGGACGTAAATGCGAGGTTCTTTTTTGATACCATATAAATTATTCGTATAGCTTGGTAAGTTATTATGAACAAATGCTTTTCGGGAGCGCGAATTCCAGTAAATTTATATACTCTGAACGTGAATTTTTTGCAATTAGAATAAAAATGACATAAACCAATGCAGAGATTAATAATAGCAAATGACTAAGTGAATTAATTTATACTTTTATGCAAAGCTACAAAAAACCATTGAAGCGAATCATTGACATTGATTCATAACTAATCAATTATCTTTCGCTACTTGCTCGACAAGCAATTACGTAAAACCGCCCCACTTTTTAAAATTACGCTGATCGATGAACACCTTAACCAAAGAAATATCAAAGAAGGCTTTGTTGATTATGTAATCTCTTGGCTTAACGAATGATATGACGACAAAATAATGATATATATTGAGTAATTAAAGATGACCCTGAAATTGCTGCATGTATTATTTTATTGAGATATGAACGCGGCGCTCTTTTATGTTTAAAAAAAGGATGAATCGATAAGATAAGCCCTAAAGATAAAGAACAATTGCGTTTAAGCATAAATAAAAAAGAAAGAGATGCAAGATTATGGGGATATGATTCGCAAGAAAAAAAAAACCCTGATCAATAATGAAAATTCCACACCGTTTATATACCAATACATTAGCGAGTTCGTGTCATGTTAATGTTCTATCTATAGAACTATAATTGTTTAGGAATAGACACATGGTGAGACAATTTTGCAACGAGGTTTAGATGTTTTCTAGATCATCGAATAATGTTTTTTTCCCAAATAAAAAAAAAAAATACTGTCGTGAAACCAAGGATGAAATCATCTAGGTCGAGTGACTAATATCGAGAATAGAAATTACCAAATGTGGGAATTGCTGGAAAATTAACAAAACCATATGTACGTATAAAATATAATGTACGTAGCAATTTTCAAATGACAAATTCAGATAAACGGGATGAGCGGGCAAACGAAATTCAAAAAAAATCTATTGTTTGTGCATGCTTACAATTTGTGATCATTTTTCATTCTTATAATGGCTCGACCTCCGTTCATGACACCAATAAGATCACCTATAGATGTTTCTCACTCACGTCAAGCTGTCATTCGTCTTTCCGTTTCCTGGTCAACTTTTTACACCACAGACTCTGTCTTTTAAGATTTATCTCATTTACCTGAATCCAGATCCATTGAGGATTCTTGATAACGTAGAATTTCATTATATCCTTTACCACTATTCTCTTTACAGTCCTATTCATTAACTTATTCTGATTCGATTTCCTTAAATGTTACCATTGTTTTTACGCAGATGCTGGCGCCAGGAAGATTATCAATTCCCAAAAAGAATTCGAAGAATACGAATTTGGGCAATTCTTTTGAAACTGACAGAAAAAATGCTAGGCGGAATTTTCAGGTTCTTAACTCGTAACGATACAAATTTGAACAAACTTCAGGAGCAATAACTCTGGGGTCCAAAATATGACCGTTACACGGTTTCTAAAGATTTTCACATGGAGTATCATTATTACTCACGGTGTTCGAAACAAAACGTCGCATATGTACATACGTACATGTTTGAATGCAACGCTTACGGGTTAGGGATATTTATGGCAGCAATATCCGGGAATGAATCCTATACGATGGCCGACGCCTTAGAAAATCCAGATGTTAACGAAAATAATTGCAAGACTCATCAAAATGAAGTGAAGAACAAAAAAAAAGATTACTATATACCAGAAAAGAGCATGAGTGCAATGAATCCAATCCTGAAAAATGAGTTTTTTGAACAAAGAAATGAAATCTCTTACGACCCTTTCCTCCTCATTTCAATATTCTATTGTGCTATCGATTGTCAAAAACTTGTGTTTAAACCCGTATAGGTTAATAGGTGAAACCCTGGCCAACTTAAAAACCTGATGAGCAACTCACAAGAAAACTTGACATTCTTTTCAGTGTTCTTATTCATCCGGTAAAATTCTATGTTGCATCTACACAATGGTGTCTAAATCATGGGTACGAATTTTGCTAGAAATTTCATAAGCAATCTTGACTAGCGTCGAAATGATCTGAATCAACGTAATACTTTTTAATAAAGATCCCGATCTCACTTACTCTTATCCATCCTTCTTTTGACGTGCTCTTGGTCTGGGGACAACATGTCTCACGTGGATTCCTGAATTCTACAGTAATAACAAACATACGTATTTTAAATTAATTGGTTGTTTATTATTTCATCTTTTTTTGTTTATTACAGTATTTAACATATTGATTTATTAATGAAATTCGCTCTCCTATTAATTATATCATGATTAATCTTTTTGATTTTTTTATTCATTTTTCTAAAAAACTGTAAGAAATATAATATCATCCCATTATAAATTGAAATATTTTAATACAATTCTATTTTGATTTATAATTTTAAAATTAATAATATTATTATAAATGCAATGTTTATTTCTATTTTTTTTTTTTATCCCAAATAAGCATTAAATAAATGCAAGACTTATTATTAGTCATAAAAAGTATTATAGAAAAGAGAAATAATTAAATTGAAAAATAACTTATTATAAAAATAAAAATTAATATACTGTATATTAAAAGGAAAAAATTACATATACGTATATAAAATTAATATAAAAATTTATAAAATTATATTTTTGACTTTTTTTTTTTTAATTATATAATTATATCATATATATGCAATATTAAAATACATATCAATTTAATATTTAAATTAACATGAATCATATAAATTCATGATAAATTTAAATATAGTTTGATTATATTAAAAAAGATTGATTTTTTTTTTAAGCATGTAAACCCGTGTTTATTATTTAAAAAAGATTAATTAAATTTATATATAATGTATTATATATTAATATTATTGATGTATTGATGTATTAATAAAAAATATAAAAATATCATTTTAATAACAATTATTATTAAGTATAATAGTCATTTGATTATCGATCACATGTTCGTGTCATCGCATGTAAATACGCATCATGTAAAATCGCGAAACTTCAATTCGTAACGCGTTCACTTCTTATTTGTGCCGAAAAAATTCTCGCATAATATTATTAAGCGCGAAAGAGTATAAAAATTACCCGATGATTACAGAAAGGTGAATATTGAAGCTTATCAAACATAGTCATGTGTTAAAGCGTAACAGTAGCTTTCTAGGTTACCTGACGTTTAAAGGCTTTTAGCTGATCTACGGATTGGGGAGGAGAATTAGGAAATGTTATTCAAAGGCTGTTTATTGACCATTCTCATTCTATGGTAGTCGACAAAATCACTACATGGGGAAGGAATGATCGTATAATCGGATTCACTATCACCAACCTTTGTTTATGGATGGTAGAACAGTAAATGAGGTTATTTAATAGAATTACAATTGGCGGAACTATCATTACTTAATATTAAAAGAGAGGAGAAGTGATACGTATGCACGATTTTAACTATAAAAGAAGAATAAGTCGATACTCTAGAACAATTATGAAGATCAAATGATCAAAAAAAAAAAAAACAAGCAAAAACGGGCAAAGTGATATTCAACTTCGCCATTACGGTCCCCTCTCGTTCCTTTTGAAAGATTGTGTCTCCTTCTCTAGGTAATACTGTTTCTACTATTTACTTTGGAATTCACATTATTCATCCAAGTGACACATCACAGGCTCAATCGGATAATCCTGAAGATGACGATTGTTGTTTTGCTGATTTATATGAATAACACGAATGAGAATGCATCAGCAGAGGTTGAGTAACCCATTGCAAAAATGTCAAAAGTTGACTATCACCTTTTTGAATATTATACTATAACTTCTCTGAAAAGAATCTCAATGAACTAATAAATTTTTTCTGGTGACGAGAAAAGAAGATGAAAAGTTCTGGGAAAAGAATATACTATCAGCCATTGGCATCCGATTCTAGCTATTAATAGTCTCGGTTTTTTCAGGCAGAATATTTAGCCGAAGAGATCGTGTGCGAATCCAAATCAAAGTGGGGAAACGAGCATTAAGCCATTGGTTGACAAGATGCACCTGTCATTGATATTAAGTCAATTTTTGATGATGAAACTTAATCAATATCGGTAGAAGTCATTTTTGAAAAGCCGTTCGGGGCAATTTGACTTTAGGAAACATTATGACTTATTACGGGTACAGAACACATCGACGATTGTATGCTCATATTACAACTTAGTATAGTACAATGCAGATAGTAACTCCATATTCTATTTTAATCTTTCATGTTATATCTCTCATAGATCAATTATTCTTTATTCTTTCGCTGTACCTTTAGAGTGTCAGACAACGATTTACACGATTCATTGAGTTAATGAAAACTTGAACGATGATTCTGGACAACAAAGCCAGTCACATGTACCAGATGAATCTGTTGGAAAAGCGTAATTTTTTCAGAGTTCTATTAATGGTTTTACTGGCATATTCACTAGCTTTTATGTTGCTTTTAGAGCGAGCAAGTTATAGACCATTACTTATGGATGCCACCAAATGAAACTCATTAGATGCATTACTATCCAAAACCACCGGCAAGCTGGAGAAACATTAGGAATTTATTGGCAGTATTATCGATTTGTCACACCACACTTCACAGTTAATCATGTTATTGGAAGGAAAACAAGGATAGAAAAATGACTCCCAAAATATAATATTTAACATGTTGCTATTAATGATTTTTTGGATTTATAAAACAGGCGTGAAGTCACAACAGTATATAAATGATGCTCATTATTTACAATAATCGATTTCTACAAACTCAATTGACTGTTGCATCATCAAATTCTTTATCATTGTCACTAAAGAGGTTTTTTGCATTAAAAATTATATCTAGTGCAATTTATTTCTGCATCATTTTCATACATGGTGTACGTAATTTTGCTAATTGAAAATCTTGACAAATTATACTAAAGACAGAAGTTAGCTTATTTAAGCCTTAGCATGTATATTAGACAGCTTGTAATAATGACTCGGATATTTTTTAGGAGTATAAATAAAAATGAAAAAATTTTATAGTATTTTTTTTAACAACTCGAGCCTGTAAAAACATGAATGATTTTCTGGCTAAATGACTATATAAAATCATAATTTTATTTACTTAATCTGCTATCGGGTCAATACAAGTTACTTGTCAATACTCCTACAAAGATTAGTATATAAAAATATATAGCCGGATGCAATTTCTGAGATGAAAATTTTGTTTTTTTAAACTAGTGACATATAATTTTTTTGATTTATACCATGTAATAATTACTTTTTAAAGAAACAAAATTTATAAAATTCGAGGATTTTGATATCTTAAATTATAATTGCTATTTTATTCGTCAAATTTTTTAAATACTTTATTATTCCATGATATTTATGGTATTAAAAAAATAGATATATCAAATTGATAATAGATTTTCGAATTCTTGTTATATTATTAAGTTACTTTAAATAAATCCTGTATATTGAGAATAGGAAAACAAATGCTTGTAATTAATAATTAAAATATAACGTGCAATCAAATAATATGCTTTAAAAATAAATGTCTTCATAATTATTTTATTTTTATTCTTAATTAAACTGTAATCTGAGATGTTTATTAATTTTGAGTCAAATACAATAATATTATATCGATGTTATCTATAGTTAAACATTTAATTAATTACAATATTTCTATTAATAAATTTATAAATTTGTATATAATTTTTAAAAGTATTGAAACCATTGTATTATCCATATAATCAAGTTGTTCGTTAATTATTTTTTATTATAAAAAGATAAATTCATTAAGCTATTACTGTGTGATATATTAACTTTTAAGACTTTTCAAATTCTTTAAACTCTTTAATATAATTTAAAAATAAAAAAATAGTTTTTTAAAAAAAAAAGAATATTATATAAGCTTATAAATTTAAAATATAAAAAAAAAAGTTTGTATTGATAAATAAAAAATTTTTTAAATCAATTTTTAGTTTAATTACTTGCAATTAAAAGAATTATTTATTTTATTACTAATTAAGAATATTTGAAATACACTTATAATAAGATTTATTGTCTTTATAATTTTATACAGTAGTTTTATATTCTATTATTATGCAACTTTTTTTTTAAATTAAATTAAAATATTTTTTTAATCTTAAAGAAAAAAAATTATATAATATAAAAAAAAAAGAAAAACATCAAATTATTTTTAATAAAATTAATATTTTGTTATCTTGTTTTTTTATTATAATTAATAATATTATTAAATTTGTTATTATATAAATAATATATATATATATAATACAGTATATATAGTATCTTATTTATATTTCTTGCTATATATTAATTAATTAAATATTTATTATTTAAATTTTTAATATAATCAAACTGCTCTCAGAAATACTTTCTACAAGAGGAAATCTCTACAAATTATATTCAAATCAATATTTAAACCTATATTGTTTCAAATATAGCTTTTGTATCAAAAACATTTAATATATATTCAAATATCCAACAGTATTAGGAAAAATTAATCAACTTATCAATACTATTAACAATATTCTCTACTCTAAAAATAATCACAAACCAATTTCATATACTTGATAGCTAATAGAACTGGCATATAAAATTACTGACAATATTTTCTTCACAATCAGTTTTTTTAAATAAGTTAAAGTATTAACAGAAATTCCAACTCACCTATACAAATCAATCTGAATACTTTATTGTACTATTATCAAAACCTAAATAATTTACAAAAGCTTATCAATCTTAAAAACACTTAGTCATATTTATAAATCTTATAATCTCAAAATTATCAACAAATATAATAAAAATATCAAAAATATTAAAGTTAACAAATACAATAATTTCATTATTTTCAAAATTAAACT